TGTCTGACACCTCTCTTGATATTTGTGTATTCACTGGTGTCGTTGTTTACTTTCATGGCGGCTTTTTGATCCCAATAAAGATTTCGTATTAATCGTAGATCTTTGCCATCAATATCGAGTTTTTCTAGAATTTGGAATAGATTATCGTGTTTGACTTTGTCAAACGCTTTTGTGTAGTCGAGGAAACAGAGATATATATCATGTTTGACTTCTATGGATCTTTCGATTATCATTCGAAGAATGAAGATTGCATTTCTGGTGCCTTTATCAGTCATGAATCCATATTGTTCTTTTGCTATTTCTGGTCTGACGCTGTTTTTCATGCGCATCATCAGAATCTTGAGTAGAATCTTTGTCACATGACTCATGAGACTAATTGTGCGATGAAGTTCACATTCCGTAGCTCCAGACTTTTTTGGAAGGGCTATGAATATTGATTTGGTTAGATCTTCCGGGATTTCACCTGTGTCATATATTTTGTTTATTAGTTTTGTCATGACATCAACACCTAGTTCATCGAGACTTTGAATCATTTCGACGGATATTCTATCAGGACCTGTTGCTTTGTTCGTTTTCATTGATTTTATAGCTTGTCTCACTTCGTCGTTCATTATTGAAGGCCCTTCTATATTTTTCTTTATGTTAGGTTTAGAAGCCCTATTATCATCGAAAAGTTCTTCTATGTATTCTGACCACCTGTTCAGTATGTCACGTTTTTCCATAAGGATGGTTCCACTTTTTGATTTGATACAGTCCGAACTGGTGTATCTTGATTTCCCTGTGATTTCATCGATTTTTTTATGAGCGTACTTGGTGTTCACACAACTTATTTTCAATCTCTGAACACTGCTCGTTCAGCCATTTCTCTTTTGCTTCTGAGCATTTCTTTTTGATTTCTTTGTCTATCAACTTGTATTCGAGCAGGTTTGACTTCTTGAGTCGTCTTTGTTCCATTAATTTTAGGATGTCGTCAGTCATCCATCTCTTTGTCTTGTTTATTTGAGCTTTTGGGAGTATTTCTTCAGCAGATGCCAAGATCGAGGATTTCATCTGCCAATACCTCAGTCTTTATGATTTCACTGGTTGCATCCAATGCTTCAAATCGGTTCTGTACCTTGATACAGTACTTTTCTTTCATATCTGGATCAGTTTTAAGGAGGTGAACCTGAAGTTTTGGATTTTTCTTTAGCTGTTTTAATCTTTTTAATTTTACTCGAATTTCACTGATGACTGGGACATTGTCACTACCACAGTCTGCTCCAGGAAATGCTTTGGAGGAGATGATCGAATTCCTGAAACCATGAGGGACCATAATGTAGTCTATTTGGTTTCTAGCCCGGTCTCCAGGGCTTCACCATGTCCATAGTCTACGTGGGTGATGCTTGAACCATGTGTTTGTAATGACGAGGTTATGTGATTGGCACCAGGTGTCAGGTATCTAGTTTTTGAAAATAAAAGCCGCAAGTCTCTATCTTGTTCCTATCAAAAGTTATTCAAAAAACATCCACCTGTCTTGACTTCTGGAACCGATAATACTTCTGGTTTATCTTTTAAACAAAAGGCGATCAAGATTCAGTCCAATCTTTCATACTTTTTCGAAGGCAAATCATTTTTTTTGACTATTTACATAAACATAAAAAATTACTTATAGCTATACGAACCCAACTTTACTCCATGACATTTTTAATACATGATCTGTTTCACTGCGATTAATTAGAATTTTATCCGGCGAACGTAAATCAAATACATTTATATAATTCTAAACAAAAATAGTGGTCCATTATTAATTTACAAAAGTAAAGTAAAATACGATCTTTCTTTAATTAAAGTTAATCTAATCATCTTAGACTTCTTTAAAATTAGATAAACTAATTAGACTACCTCTAATGATGCAGCTAGAAATCTTTCACTCGGATCACAACAAATAAATTGATTACATTTTGATGAAATTGATATAACGTTTGCTTGGTTCACTAACAGAAAAAAAATAAAAATAAATAATATTTATCAATGCATTACTTGGCTATTAACCCTTTACCTATCCATCCATTCGCAGAATTGTGATAAAAAGATAATGAAGCACCAAAAAATGATGGAAAACAAAGTCTTTTTTATCAATCGATAGCTTATGGCTTTATCCTGCTCTCACAAGCAACCCATTTTTTTATCATATGCTTCTTTATCTTTTTATAACAATTTTATGAATTGGTCATGAATGATCTCTTGGTAGATAAAGAGATAGTAAGATTAATATACCTCTAGGATCATACAATTTAATTAATCTTCCAAATGCTGTACATGCAGCAAAAAAACGTGTTTCTGGTCTAATCCATGTTAACGACGAACATGCTTCACCCATACCTAAAAAAGAATATTGAAAGATAAAAATGATACTGCGATAGTTAGTTCGATATCATCAAGTATATTCTGAACAGCAATAGAGCTTATTAAAATTGTTAACTTCATCATTCAATTTCATGGATTGACTATTTTTGTTTTGTTTTATCAGAAAAATATAAATTAAACAAACAAACAAAAAAAAAAAAGAAAATGAAAACAAACCAGTTTCAAATAATGCTTTTACTGGATTTGTATTATCCAAACGTTTATATTCGACATCATTTGGATTTTGTTGACTAATTCGAGTTGGAGGTTGATTTGTTGTTGATATTGATTGTTTACTCGTTTGTACATCCCATAGAACAACGCAGTTATCCGTTCGATTACGTTCGAAACCAGATAATAACTGAACAGAAACATGAAAAATATTTTAACATTAGATTTAAACAACAGATTGTTCACGTACTAAATAGGGAGAATCTGTATTCCAACTGAGTGCCGAACATGCTCGTCCTTGTTTGCTATCTACAAAATAAAAATTTGATTTTTTTATGTTTTATATTTATCTATTGATATATATCTTACCTATTGTTCGATGACACAATGGATGATGATGATCTTTGACGCTGAAATACAACGAAAAAAACAACTATCAATAAAACACAGATCAATTAAACTTAAAAAAAGTTTTCTTAAAAAAAAATACTTTTCAAAAATAATTCTTCCATTTGTTTGACCCAACGCAAATGTATACGGATATTCAGTTGATGGCCACCATGCTGCACACTGAAGAAAAAAAATGAGAGTAAGAAGTTTTGTCTTTACTTGTGGAAAAGACATACTTTAATACTATTTTTTTCTTGAACTGGATAGGTGAAATTTAATCGTCTATTTGACGTACATTTTTTTGTCGGTTTATCAAATACATGAATTATAATTTCAGCGCCAATTTCAGCCAAATCATTTGAAATATTTGGTGACCAACATATCTCTGTACGTTGATTCATCCTCTAAAAAATTAGAAAAGACATAGTCACAAAGAAAAATCCTGGACGGTCATATTAAAAACTGTTATAAGACTTCACTTCGTTATCAGTTACACAATGACGACATCGTCTTGTCAAGAAAAATAATTTATTTTTACATCGTGATAATCATCTATTGTTGAAGAAAGAAGTCTCAAAACTAAGTTAAGAGTGAATTTATTAGACAAATCTATATTTTTTACATAAATCCAACATAATATATAAAACATGTATCACAGAATAAAACCAAAAACAACTGGCTATCAAAACACAGCAGTATACAAATTTTCAATTAAGTTACATTTCGTTTTCTTTTATTAAAGTATTTTTTATTGTACATGCCATACATTTGAGCAAATTTTTTAAATATATCAGTATCAAAATAGTTTAAACAATCATCAACCCGCTAAACACGGAAAAAGAGTAAACTATAAAGGAGCGGCTAATATTACGTTCATTAGTATCGATAAACATTTCATTTTGAATATCAAACTATTTTTAACAATTTCATAATCAGAACTGATTTCTTAATTGCATTACAATGACTCGGACGAACACCATTGTCATAGTTAATCCATCCAAGTTAAAACAATAAATGGTAAAATAGTCCGACCTCTTCTAGTCGTTCTTCATATGGTAAAAGACACATTTAATCTTTGAGGAAGGATTCATCACAGCGCATGATGGACTAAAAATAACAAAACGATTAGTACATGTTCATATTTACCATAATATAACAAAATATTCTTCACGTACAAAGACATAAACAAAGGAATGCTATGAATTATTTTCTTACGATTTCGATCAACCTGACACGATTTTTTCTCACGTTACTAGGCATTGCTCTACACCCATTTTATATACTAAAATTTTCCCATTGGCAGGGTTACTAGGCATTCCACTATTTATGAGTAATCCCATCCAGATATGTCTCATTTGTTGACAACATGACTGATTTTTCGCCAAAAGTTAAACAATCGTAGCTCAACAATGCAGCTCATGAGAAGAATACGTGTACTATTACTTCGCAATTCTAATTATATTAGTTTACTTATATATAATAGAACTTGCAAGAACGGTATAAACACAATGATTTTCTTGTGATAATGTTTATCTTTGTATAGTTTTATATAGGCTAATTTTCCTTTGAAAATGTTTGTCATACTTTTAGACACCTAAAACGTTCCACTTCTTGGACTTTTTGACTTATTATTTGCTTGACTACGTAACTCTGCTACCGTAGTGTAATTCCATCACGTATTTTTTATCATTTTGTTTCTTCTAGGGTTCTCGAATGAGAACATGTTCAGAGATTCACAATGTCTCAAATTAGAAGAAAAAGTGTGCCGAATAACTTGTGACTATCGCATACTCTACTTTTGTTTAGGAAATATTGCAAAAATCCAAACTACTATTTTTGAAAACGTATCTGAAAAAGTAGTTTGTATTTTTACAATATTTCTTAAACAAAAGAACATGTACAGTATGCAATAGTCACAAGATATTCGCCACACTTTTCTCTCTAATTTGCAAACCTCTGGTGTCATCTCATTCGAGAATTATAGGAGAAATAAAATGCAAGAAAAATGTGGTGGAATTACACCGCGGTGGCAAAGGTGCGTGGCCAAGCCATCCTGTACTTGAGCTGAGATTTTCTAACATTACACCATTAGTTACATTCGTGATTTCGGGCAGATATGAACCTACTCAAAAAGAATTATAAATCTAGACTAATAATTTCAACTTCATATTACCATCGATAAAACACGACTAAAAAGTTTTTACTCGAGTTAGTAATAACATCTATAACTAAAGTAGCGCTATGACTATATTTTCTCGGAAATAATTAATAACTGATTTTTCGCTCTAATATCATCCTTCTTTCGAAATTCGATAGTTGAACATAATATGTCTATTCTGGTCGGATACTCAGAAGAATTGACAAGTGACAATCAGGCTGTATGTGCAAATATGCTGAACTTACAACTGTAATGCATCAAGACTATGTTTTCCTGAGTTAATCGGCCAAAAACTAGTGTGATCTAATAATGTTTTCACAATATGTAAACAAAACGATGTTGATAACTAGTGACCATGATGATGATATGCGAAATGGCATTCAATATACAAATTAATAAACAAAAATGACTCATCTAGAACGTGACGAAAAAATTAATAATAATAGAATGTCATGTTAATATTCGTAAATAAATTGAATTTTTACAATATCTGCATTCAAGTAGTCATTTAGAACAGTTCAGATGACAGTAGCTAAATTAGACTTATATATGTTTACAGTAGAAGACAAAAGATTAGAAGAGTGTAGTGCCTTAATTTGTTTACATACATTTTGTAAATAATAAATAAAACTACTATTTGTATTGAATTTACTGGTACTAACTGTTCTTGGATCTGGAACAATCTCAAAATTACTGTCAAGTATTAAAGTAAAGAATAGCTCAGTCTGAGAATTATTTAAAAAAAGAAAGCACACATCAAAATAGAATTTCTCCCTTTCTAAACAATGATGCTGATCTTCGATTCCACCTTTTGCAAACAGCAGCTCTCTCTCACTCTAGTTTTACCCAATGACGACTCTGAGAACTAAGAATGACGCATCCGCTTTGTGAGTCGGACAACCACTATCAGAAGTATATCGGAGAACAAAACACACATCGACACATCCACACTTTCATCAACAGACTACAACTCATTCACAGTGACCGGACTAACCGTAAACGATTCTCGCACCTTCTTCTCTTTTGCATCACATTAGTTCACTCACTCAAACTCAATCTGTGATGTGTTGATGTCTATCGTAGATCGTATATATTATAGGTATAGTAGAAAGGAACCCAAGGTTTCGTTATCGATGATTGGACCAGTATGAACAACCCATGAACAGTGTGAACTGGTAGAGGTCATTTAGAACCGCTTCTTTCTATTGTCTTGTACTTGGACGATATTGAAAATAAATCCGTCGGGGAAGAGAAGAGACTGAGTGAACATGACTCGTTTGATATCATCACTTCACTCGCCACTGAAGATAACAGTGGTCATTTCTATTCGTACAGAAGCAGCCAGTGCAGTTCAGTTACTGCTCTGGCGCGTGCTTTTGTTTTTTATTTATCATCTTTTCTTTTAAGCTGGGGGTTGTATTACGAAAAATTTTAAGTCAGGCTTAAGCCTAAACCGAGGTTTAAGTCAGACTTAAGTGTTTAGAGTTAAGTTTTACCGTATTACTAAAAAATTTAAGCCATGGGAAATGTAGTCTTAAAGTTAAGACCGAAAGTCTTTGACGCATTTTTCGAATAGCTCAGGCATTTAACTATAAGATTCGGCGAAACTTTTAAAGAAGGTTTAGAGAATAAATATTTTGTTATTTAGCGGATTTTTGTTCCAAGTTTGTCACCATTGTCAACGCCTTTCAAATAGTAAACAAATCACCAACTTAAATCTTTTTGTGAGACAATTTAAGTCTCCGGACTTTAGTCGATCGCCTTTTTTGTAATATGACCCACTGGGTAATTTGATATGTGGTCTGACAATATGAAGCAACGAGAGACATGCTAATGGAAAGCGCCACTTAAAAAGTGGTCTTCATTTTTGTGAAATTTTTCCTAGTTTATGTTCTAGCTGATATCAAGAACTTTCGAAAATTACTTTGGAGTTCTATAGCCAGAAGTCGTTACTGGGATATCAATGTTTTTCAAACAAGTGTCTGCCATAGTAATTCTTAAAACTGATGCAAAACGCCCGAAAATATTCAGAAACAAAATATTTTTCTGCTTTTGTATTTAAAATGTTTCATTTTTAAATGCAAAACGCGTTTTTAGTTTTACGTTCAGATAAAACTCACGTTTATCACGGCAATGGATATTGTTTGCTTTCTTGAAAATAATATGTTAGATACATAAATCAAATTCGAATAGATTTTTAAGTCAGCTTACGCATAACTCAAATTTCAAGTCGATCCTCGCTGTCAGGCCATATGAGATCATCCTCATGAGATCATTGCTATTAAATGTTATATAGCTCGATTTTTGTTCATCACGTGAGTGCTGAGAATTCATACAGCATGCGTAGTTTTTGAGAATTTGCTAGCCTTTCTCTAAGAGTAGCATTGAAGCGCATGACTAATGTGAACAAACACTTTACAATGTTGGATGGAGAATAAAATGCAGAAATTTGGTAATTAGTTACCATCCAAATCACTGTTAGAAACGAATAAGACTACTAGACTTTGAAAACTCATTAATAACATATAAATACTTAATTACGAAAGTATTCTTTCTTAAAGTATAACGATAAAATAAGTTGATGTTTTGAAATTTTCAATATTCTAAATAGTCAGACGTTTTGAGGGGTTTTCAAGTAGAATGCATTTATTAACAACTAACATATTACGCTTCATCTTCTGTCTCTTGACTCGTATTCGATAGCTCTTTTGTTCTTGTTTTTGACTTAACTAATTCCATAAATGCAATTGTTCTCAATAAACAATTGGCCATGGGTTCTTTTCTCGCATTTTTTGATCGTTGATAATTTGATGTTATATCATTGTCAATATTTAATGATAATTGATTTTTCTCTTCCACTTTATGCTCATATTTTACTTTTGATTCTGCTCGATCATAATTCGACTGAATTTTTTGATTAATATTTACTTTAATATCTGAGAACGTTTCATTTCCAAATAACATTCGTGTTACATATAATTCGGTACTTGTTAATTCATTTCCGACAAGTAAATTAAAACGTTGTTGAATATGTCGTGCATTCAAATGATAAACGAGATTATTAGTTGCATCACTATGTTTATGAATTAATGTTGAAAATATAGAACGAATTTGTTGTAAAGTGGTAATATACGGCACTAAATTCAAATTTGGATAACGATAAATATTTTCTTCTATTAACAGTGCATTCACATTTTTCAGTGGAATATGTTCATTGATTGCCGAATCTAACTATAAAACAAAGTAAGATTGTCAAAAAGAAGATGCGCAACAAAAAAAAAAAAAATACCAACCTCATTATAAACATCTAAAAATCTGACTTTTCTCATATCAATATTTGTTTCGTAATAATTCCAATCTTTAACAATAAAATCATTTGTTAGTGTACTCCAGTAGATGAACGGTGGTGTTATTTCGACGCTTGCAGCTGTTTGAATATTCTAAAAACAAAATAGATAAATGTGGTGAGATAAAATGACTCTTTATAGCAGACTGACCAACTCTTCTGATTTTTAACGGTTTTTTTATTTCTACTGGAGAAGATAGCTTCTCGAGAAAAGGCTAACGTAACACATTCATACGTTGAATTTTGTCTATAAGTCATATGTAACAAAAAAGAAAAGAAAAAAAAGGATCAAAGATAAGATTTATTTGAAAAACAAAATTAAGCTGTAGTCGTTTCTCCCGTGTTTTGGGCAAACAAAAAAAAACATCGTCTGATTTTCAAGATTTTTCTGCCAATTTTTTAACTCTCTCTCGATTCGACTTCATAGTTTCTATTTAACTTACCAGAGCTGTTTTACTGTTTAATTTTGGCATTATATGAATTTTTTTCGTTGTAAATCCTTCCTCAATCTGTGGTTCAATACTTGACACTATCTGACAAAAATGATCCACTAGAAGAGCAAGAGAACAAAAAGAGTGATCCTTATTATTATGTTAAAATAATGTTCTATACGTACTCACTATTGCCAATAAATTGTTCTAAACGTTTTAGATTATCAAATGATAAAAATTTTCCACCTAATTTTTTTTTTAATGTTATTATTTGTTTTATCTGTGTTTCGTTTAATGATGGAACATTTTTTAATAATTTTTTTGGTGATAATGTATTTAAATTTGTTAATACTGTTGATAATTGTTCATTAGTGCAGTTATATAACTTTGATGATGATTGTTCCATTAATTCTTCCGATTGTGTAACAATCGAATGAGAACGATATTGCTTGTACAGATGTCGAAAGAACGACAATTCACGACGAATTAATAAGGAAAACATTTTCAAAATCTAAAAATACTTATTGCAAGAAATTTTTCAAACAGACTCATCTAAATATTCTAATAGTTCTAAAAAGATGTAGGGTTTCGCGAACGACAATGTAATTCAAGATAAACCAATAGTAGTCATTCTTCTAGTGCTCAATTCAACATTCAATTTCACATTTTCGATGTTTTTCTCATCTCAAGTCATTATCTGCTAGAAATTATTCTCGAACAATCAAAGATATTCTACTCTTTATGTTCACTAAACATGTAACAACATGTCAATTCTTTTATATTTTATATTGTATCGTTTTGAAAGACAAATTGCCAAAAAAAGAATATTTGTTTTTAAAAAAAAGACAAAAAGAAAAGCAAACTGCACATATTTGTTTATAGTGAAAAGCAGTGTGTTTTTAAAACCATACTAAAAAAGATTACACACATTCTGCTTTGTTGTTGTTGTTCTGAATGTGAAAAAAATGGATGGATTTAACAACGAAAAAAATCATAAGAGAAAGAAAAAGGAAAAAACTTTTAGTTTATTTTTTTTATGAAAAATAAAAAAAGTGAAGAAAAACATTGATAGATGCTTGGTTATTATCATCATCATCATTGTTTTTAAATCTTTACAATACTTTTCGATATTTCATTAAAACAGCAATACCAGCAGCAGCTAATACCGTTGTTACAGCACCAAATGCAGCATACATCCACCAATTGGACTAAAAATAGAAATATTGATATTAATAAAATTGGAAACAGACGCTACCCATTATTGATCAATGTTCTCTGGAAGTGTTATGTGTATTTGCACACCAAAATGGAGATAAATGAACAGACGTGGTTAAAAGGACGTTCCGTGTAAGGGCAAAATATACCGCTTAGTTAAGAAGTTGTGTAGAAATCACTAAGAAGTTTAAGTTATATACCTTGTATAACTGCACGAAATGTTTATACATAAAAGAATTTTGAATTTAAAACGGTATGATTTTTCCTCTCTCTAAAATCTTAAATTCCCTAAGGTTCATTAGCAGTATGATTAAAAATCTAACTTAACCCTTTCTTGCCCTATGGTACCTACAGGTCACAGTGCGCAACCAAGTAGACATTAGGGAAAAAAATGAAAGCGAGATTTTTCAAGATTTGAATAGCGTGTCATATACTTCGACAAACCCTCTGTCTTTTTGCCATTGGCAGTTTTTTTCTAAGTACGAAACTTAGTCAGTAAATTGCTAAGCAAAATTAGACCGAAAACAATGGTACTATTGAAAACTGGATTATGCACAAAATCTGGGCAACCGTTTAGAAAAACAAAGACATATTCTGAAACTGCAGCAAAGTACTAAAAAGACTTTTGCATTCTATAAAAAATTTTGAATTCTACAATTTTCTGATTTACATAATTTTCTACTAAAATTTAAAGTTCAGGATAAAATAAACGAAACGCTTCCAAGCATGTTTTCTATAGGTTTCCAACGATGGTCTTTCCAGCGAAATGATTTCGAGTAACGAAAGTTTTCTAAAGGGCTTTCTAGAGACCGGATCTCTGGAAAACCCTTTAGAAAACTTTTTCGTTACTCAAGAACCATGCCATTGAGAAGAGCGTCATCGAAAACCTATAGAAAACTGATTTAAATAGTTTTTTGTCTACTTCTAGAGTTGATGTCCGCATGTTTAGCCAAAATTGCGCACTGTGTAGGTGCCATTTTATAAAAATTTAGTTCACTTAAACTATTAAGCATTTAGAAACAGATTTTATATCAACTTAAAGCCTATCTATTGTGGACTTCAAATCAACAATCTGCATGTAATCTTCATCATAAAAATATATTTTTGACGCTCCCACGGATTTGGTTCAAACTTTTCCCGTGTATATTAGAGGCCATAAGATTGATGCTATTGAACGGGTTGTCCTTCAGAACCGTCAAGTTTAGCCAAAGGCACGAAAAGGTTAATATATAACGCTTGTAAGAAAAAAAAATTCTTTTATTTAACTTACTTTTTCTGTCTGACGTTTATCTGTTTCGTTTCGCTTCAGTTTATTAATCTTTTGTTTTGATTTTGAAGATGATTGTTGTTGTGATTGAAACATTCGTTGATAAAATTGTTTTTCATTTTCTTTATATTTTGTTAATTTTGTTTCACATTCCTTTAACATATCTTGAACTATTTTTTTATCATCTGGGCCGAGTTGCAGAGCTTTGCGCAATGCGGGAACAGCTTGATCGTATGAACCTTGTTCAAAAAGTGCACGACCTTTACGATACCAAGCTTTTACATTATTTTCATCTAATTTTAATACACGATCGAGTGCTTCGATGCACGGTGAATATTTTTTTAATAATAAATTCGCTTGTCCAATATTATTTTGAACCAAAATTAAACAATCTTTCAATAATTTTAGTTGGTCTTTATCCTCATAATCGCAATAAGGATGTTCTTCATCCTCTAAAAACTTCAACGCGCCTATATAACATGTCAGCGCTGAACCATATTCTTTTCGACGATAATAAAAATTTCCAAGTGTACGCTTACGTTCACTAAAAAAGAAATTGTACATATCAATGTTTTCCGTAATTAGTAAGCGAACTAAAATACCTACCCCCATTCTAATCGTTCTTTTAATGTTATACTGTGTATTTCTGGTGCATACTGCCAGTCGAGAAGTTCTAATTCAATTCTCAAATTTGATGATGGTGGAATGTGTTTTTCAGCATAAGCTAATGTACCGTAACAATGTCTTGAATCAGCTTGTATTTGTGCCTTTTCTTGCTTATTCATCAACTGTATAGAAATATCAATAGCTGGTATCACTTCACATTCACCCACAAAATACTTAAGTTCTCGACTTTCGTCAACTAATAGACCACCATCAACCAGAAATAAACTATAGGTGATGGTTGCTAAACAATTACGTGGTGGACGAGTATCTTTGAGACCTTCAACCAGTGTCTAAAGGTAAAAAAATAAAAATAATTATGAGCAATAACTAAGAATAGTGAACTACTAAAACGCTTTCTTTGAGTTATAATTATGAACATTAAAAATAGAGGTGTATAGAAGTCAAGCTTAGACTTCTTGTTCCAGTTTGAGTTCCATATAAATCTAACTCTTTTCGTCAAAAAGTTTCACATTTCGCCACTGAGCAATCATTTCACATATTTCACTACTATTTAAAAAATAAATTCTATGTTTAATTCAAACTCAAGCCAAAATAGTGATCGACTATTCAGATTTGAAGCGTTCTTACAAGCAAAAATTACCAGAGGAGAATGCAAAGAAACTGAATTTGAAAAATATCTATATGAAAAACGCATCGATTTGACATTAACCTGTTTTAGTATCGATTTATTTCCAAGTATATCATCTGGTCCCATTGTCTCTTTTTCGTCTTTTTCTGTGTTTGCTGCTGTTAAAGTTGATGGTATATTTTCACTTTCTAGGTGATGGTGTGTATCTATTTGAGCTTCCTGCTTTTCATCTTGTTCAACTTTTCTGTCTGTTTCACTCGTATCAATATGGTCTGACGTATGATGGATTCCAGTTGTTTGCAGAAGGGATTGTTCTGATTGTGCGGTCAGACTGTTCTCGACTGATGTTGCGTTTTGTACTTCGTCGAGTTCCGTATCTATTCCATTTGATAATATTTCGTTTGTTTCTGTTGTATCGAGTATTGGGGCTGTCTCTTGTAAAATATTGTCGTTGCTAGTACTCACTGTCGTCATCTCTATCGCAAAACAAAAATAGATAAAACAACTTTGCAAAAATCTTCCTTATTTGTATGAGCTTTCCACTCCTGTATAACAATCAAAAACAAAAAGTATGGCTTCTTTTGGTCACGGTTGTCATCCTGAAAAACAGGGGTTAGCGGAAAAAAACTTTTGTCTCTTCTGTCTCTTTCCCTTCTCTTTGGAGATGAGTTTTGTCGTCGCCGATATTGGTGGTGAGAAAAATCAAGAAAAGATACCGTCTAATTATAATCAGTTGCCGATGTCCAATTGATCGGAGCTAGATATTAGTAATGAAACGACTAAAATTTACCTTCGTTTTGACTGAACAATGGCTCATTCTGATGTTTTGTTTCATCCACATTCTCGTGGATAGTTGTGATGATATTATACTGTTCTCCATGTTTTTCATCTGATACATCGCTTACCCTATCTTCTAATTCACTTGATGTAAATAGTGGTGCTTCTTGCTGTAGAGTGTCATCACTACTGACAGACATTGTTGACGTTTCTATAACAAGAACCAAGTAACATAACGCTATTAAGAATATTAAACTATTTTGAATCTTTTGTCATCCTGCTTCGTATGGTACCACCTAGCTTTAGTTAATACTACCATATGCTGTAGTAACGATTCCAAACACAGTCTATTCTCATACTTCTAACTTTTCTTTTTGAATAGACAAAGCACTAAACTTTCAATAAAATATCCAACTTCCTTTTAGTCAAACTTTCGATTATTTACCTTTTTCTGGTTC